AGGGAAAAAGATAAATTAGACAATTAACATGCACACAATTAGCCAAATCTCGACCAAAGCTACTGACTCTATCTTTTAATCATATATTCATAACGTGTAGGAAAGATTATGGACTTGGTCATTATTCTTCTTCTTTTTTCAAAGCATGTATGCCTGATACAAAATTGATTTGGCCCTTAAAACTGCTATTAGAGCTTGGTTGAACCAGTGAAAATGGTTTTTGGCCAAATAAAACAGTGAAATCAGCTGCATTGTTGTAACGCCGAGCTTTCTTTATGTATATACACAACAAAAAGTCAAACACGTTTGACTTCTTATTATTGGGAAAAAGAAAGTTTGTCTTCCACAAAGGCCTTAAACCTGGGCTCCAGATATTTTGGCCAAATTTACGGCAGAAGAACCACCAAACCAACCTCAGCATTCAACAGATTGGTTTGCTAGATTTCTTTGACCTTGTCAAATTGATTTGGTACAAAAATAGTTTACAAGTTCGATTGGAAATATCCAGTCCATGCATACATGTAAAAACAATAACATGAGAAAATTTAATGGTGATGAATGTAGCTTGGATCATCAACTGAGGATGGAATCATTAAAATATTAATGCCGATTGTCTCAATGAATTCTTCCATTGGAAAAACTTGAGTTCCTTTTATCAGAACTGAACTAACTGAACAAACATGTACAACCAAACAACAGGCCACATAAATTTGATCAGATTGATTATTCACCTCACCTTACAAGGAATTTGACATTGTGACAGACAATTCCTGAACCTCAACCCATCTGCCACTGCATCCACAATTGACAAACCGTATTACAAGTTCTAAACCATTTAAGATTGTTAGTCAAGATGCACAAAGAACAAAGTAGCACATTAAAGATCAATATTTTGAAAAACAAGAGTCGTGTAAAAATATTCATAATTAACATGGATCGAGTCCATTTTGATTTATACAAGGACACTAGCAGATTTAACAAACAGCAAAAATCAATACTCGCCAAAAAACCAAAAAAGTTATCTTGAATCATTATACCTTTAGAACTGGCTCGCCTTTGTTGGTGTTTGCAGATTGCTTTGCCATTGCCTGTTGCTGTGCACGTGCAGCTCGTCCTGCCGCTGAATTATCAAATTGTTCTTGCCTGCAGTTACAATCAGAACATATAAGTTAGGCCAACATTAACTGTAGTCCTATTCTGTCATCACCGTCGCATGAGGAGGTCCAAGCATCTGTTGTGTTTCGTTTTGGGGCTTCACCTATTCATAGCAAGTCTCTGTTTTATGCTTCATCTACTAATTACAGTGGACTTCCATCGAATGCTCATTTACAAGCATGTTAAAAATGTGAAGGATGTCTCATACATGTCTTTTCCTGTTATCCTATCAATTTAGGTTAAGGATGAATCCGTCAAGATTCACAAACCTCATGCATAGTTATTACTCCGATAGATTAATTTTCGAATGTCTGATGATCAAAGATTCCAATATTCAATGCCGGTATTCCATCAAAACCCAAATTGGCGAAATATTTTCACGAATTCATCAATTTTGACACTTAAATTGTAAAAAGAAAATGAATTCACAGTAAAAAGGGGAGGGAGGAGGGATTGCCTTCTCTGGGCGGCTGCGGCGGCGTTAGCGCGAGCTTCTTCAGAGGCCAATCTCTCCTCTTCTTTGGTCATTCGCTTGTCGCCTCCGCCGAAGCAACCAAAGCACAGCCCCATCTTGCCGTCTATCAGACCGTCCCTGACTGTTTTTCTGTTCAATCTACTTTCTCGATTCCTCTGATTATCCTTTCTTTCTTCACCTTCTCGGGTTTGACTTCCTTCGTGTTGTGGATATTCTCATGTTCCTTTTTCTGATATTATAATCAGGCTCTCGTGTATAAAACGCGTGCTTTCCTCCTATTTATGATTTATCCATTGCGCCTGCCATTCCCAGCATTTGTTGGAAGGTTCGTTTCTTTAATTTGATTTTCGGTTTCAGATGAGATAAAAGCTGAACACTACGTGTATTTTGTCCAATTAATGGGGCCCCACACACGGTGTCTTTATTTCAGAAATAAAATGCATTATTTTCTGGCCATCAAAAGGCAATATATGAAATTAAAAAATGAGTTGCAGTAAATAAAAATAGTGTTTTTTTCCCAGCACAATATATACAGGGAAATCCCAAAAAAAAAAACTGTTAAAATAAAAAATTGCACACAAGCACCCGTGTATAAAAATTGTTGTCAAAACTCATACTAATATTATCATATATTTCAATTTATAATTTTTTTATTTTAGGAGTCTTTTTTTGCCATTTTTCCACATATATAACTAGTGGAGTATACCATTTATCTTAGCTTTTTTTTTTTTTGACATTTTCGCATGGACTAACGGTTTTCCAAATAAGTCAAGATGTTTTTTATTTGGTTAAAGTATACATTTAGTTTTTTAACTTTATGTAAGGTTTTACTTTAATCCCTTAACTTTAAAAAGTATCCTTTTAGTTTTTTTACCTCCATAATTGTTGGTCTTAAATGATATTTTTTATAACAATTATGATTGTTTTGAATATTAAACTTAATATGCTAGTATTTAGTAATGTTTTATCAGCATTGAAAAACTCAATATCATTATTTTTTATTAACAGTTTTAAGGTTAGAGGGCTAAAAATTTACTTTTCAAAGTTAATGGACCAATTGAAAAAGAAATTATAAAGGAAATTGAAAAAGCACAGCAACAATTCATCTGGGGGGAACAAGAAGGAAATCGGAGATGGCATGCCTTATCTTGGGACAAGTTATGTCAACCCAAAGAACATAGGGGAGTGAGAGTAAAATCATTACAGGTAATGAACGATGCCTTCCTCTTAAAGTTACTATGGAAATTCAAAAGTTAACCTACAGCACTATGAACACAAGTTTTGAAAGCAAAATACTGCAGAGAACAAGAAAGGGGGAAAAGAAATGTTAGTTAAGCGCACTGATTCACACCTCTGGAAGAACTATGCAAGCTAAGGAGTTGTTTGAAGAACATGCCTTCATAGAGGTCAGAAATGGGGAATTAACTCGAGTATGGACGGATCATTGGATCAGAGGAGCAGGCAGATTAATCACACATGCGCTGGATACTCAAAACATAGATCTCTCTCTTTGTTTGAAGGACTTAGTGAGAGAGGATGGTACATGGGATATCGCTACCTTGGAACAGGTACTGCCGGAACAAATAAGGGATAAACTGGGAAAGGCACCGAGACTGAGAGACCAAGGGATGGATATGCTAGCTTGGAGCCCATATACAAGAGGAGAATTCACAATAGCGAGCACCTACAGAGCACTAACTAGGTTACCTGAACAAAGAAACAACATGTTTTGGAGAAAGTTTGAAAACTTCAAGTTCCAAAAAGAATCAAAGTTTTTCTCTAGAGAGCATTTCATAACAAACTCCCCACACAAGAAATAACAAGCAAATGGGATGGCGGACAAGGAATTTGTAAAAGCTGTCGTCAGGCAAAGGAGGACCTTATTCATGCTATGAGGGATTGTCCAACAGCTTCAATAATATGAAAGAAACTCATACCTGAATAAAAAAGGAACTCTTTTTCAAAGGTAATTGGGAAAAGTGGATCCAGAAAAATGTTCTTCAAAAGGGATACAAGCTAGAAGAGGACTAATGGCCTGAAGTTTCCGCTACCTGTTGCTGGTTCATATGGTATTGGAGGAACTGCAAAGCACATGATGACGCCTTTAACCAACCTTGGAGAGCTAATGCAATTATTAAACAATACATCAGAAATTATGCTGGGAGGCAGGAAGAACAGGGAGATAATAATCAACAAGTGGAAATTAGAAGGATTAAATGGTTACCCCCAAAAAAAGATTGGTGCAAGCTTAATACTGATGGAAGCATTAACCATAAAGGGGAAGCAGGATGCGGAGGAGTCATAAGGGGAGATTGTGGAGAGTGGTTGTGTGGTTTTACAGTGAAACTGGAGAAATGTGACATTAGACAGGCTGAAGCTTAGGGGATTATTGAAGGGCTACTGTTATGCAGGCAAATGGGTTTTGAGAAGATAGAAGTAGAGTGCAATGCAGATCAGATAATCCAGGAAATCAAGCAGGAGTCTAGAATTAAGGGTAGTTACCTGATCTCTAGAAAACTAAAGGATCTTCTTAAGCTGCAATGGCAGGTTGAATTTAATCACGTCTTCAGGGAGGGAAATCAGGTCGCTGATAAGCTTGCAACGATGAGTAATGAGATGAACGCAAGACACCTTACTTGGGCAACCCCACCTGGCTGGATTGAAGAACTCATCAAGATGGATGCTTCTGGCTTTGAAACCCCGAGAAGAATAGTTGTCATAATGGTTGGGCTTGGCCCCTTTCTTTCACCAAAAAAAAAAAGTTAATGCACCAAAATGAAACATTGTGTAAAGTTAAATATCTAAAAGTATACTTTAGTCTTTTTATTTTTAAATGCTATGACTTATCCTAAATTTTATTTTGTACTACTTCTGATCCTTAATATAAGATTTCATTCGACTTTTATTTTGACTCTAATTATAAGACTCCAATCCACTTTGTCTCTCATATTTATATATTTTTTTTTAAAATAGTCCCTCTAATAATGATAGTTCTAGGTAATAAACTTGATTAATAAGGATATTTTAGGAAGGACAACACCTATTTATTACAAATAACTAATTAATTTATTTTTTTAATCTTTCAAAATAATCAACTAGCTTTAGTAGTAATAGTTTTTTTAGACATCACAGTGGATGAAAGAAGTCACAATATTTTTTATCTGAATAAATCACTATCTGCAACTCGTGAATATGGTGACGTATCACAAAATTTAGGCGGGGGATGCGAAAGAATGATTTTAAAAACGTACATTTATTGAAGAGATTACTTAAAGTGTAACTATTTATTATGTAAAATATAAATTTAAAACATTCTTTTTATTTATTTATTATTATAAACGGGGCTTTTTTTGTTTTTTTTTTGTTTCACTTCCTCCTCTGTTCTTGCTAAGCGCATCTCATATACTTGACAATTGCCATCAGAATTGAAGGATGAAGAATCATACCTCTCGCGGGTGGCTTGGGTGAACCAGGGAAAAAACTTTGACAACTGAAAAAGCACAGCGACGTCGAACTCTTGTCCAATGCTCCCTCCAATTCTTAATACTCTTCCGGTCCTTATTATAAGACCCAATTTGACTTTTTATTTGGTCCTAATTATAAGACCCAATCCATTTTTTCTCTTATATTTATGCATTTTTTCCAAGATAATCTTCTAATAATGATAGTTTTAGCCAATATACTTAATTAGCAAGGATATTTTAGGAATAACAACACTTATTTATTATAAATAACCAACTTAATTACTTCTTAATCTCTTCAAATAAGTCAATGGGTCTTATAATTAGGACCGGATATTATTTTGTATTCTCAACATAAAATTGAGTGATTAAAAAAATTATTGAATTAGTTATTTGTAATAGTTACATATTGTCTTCTCTAAAATATTCTTACTAATTATGTGTTAGCTAAAATTACCATTTAATTGAACCTTTAACATATACAACTACTATAATGACTATTTTAAAAAAAATAGATAAATATAAAAAACAAAGTGGATTGAGATTTTATATTTAAAACCAAATTAAAAGTTAAACTAACTCTTATATCAAGGATTGGAGATAGTGTAAAAGTTAGTTGACTAATTTGAGTGAATTAAAAAAATAAATTAAGTTAATTATTTGTACAAATAACCAAATATTGTCTTTCTTAAAATACTCTTGCTAATCAAATGTATTAGCTAGAACTATCATTTGATGAAATATTTAACATATACAACTATTATAAGGACTATCTTAGAAAAAATGAATCTATATGAGAAATAAAAGAGATCTTATGTCTATGATTAAAATGAAAATTAAACTAGTTTTTGTATTAAAAGTTAACTCAATTCGATTTGCTTAGTCGCTTTGGTCCAATTTTTCGAACAATAATAATATAATGGAGGGCTAACTGGAGGGACTAATGTTATAAAGCTGGCTCACGATTTGCCCCCCAGAATTCGTCTGAGGCTTTGGCTTCTTTTTCTTTCTTTCTTTGCTTTTCTATTTTTGTCTTCGCGGGATATGGCAGCACATCTGTTGATTGCAGATGATGCAGACCTACGGAGAGGACGTTCCCTGCAGGTATGTGTGTTTGGTGGGGTGTATGGGGGTTTCTGCTTCTGGGTGCCGGGGTGATTTTTGTGGCCACAAAACCAACTTCTCGTCTACTAAAATATCTGTATTTAGTACCTAATTTGTCTTAAATAGAATTATTTTTATTGAAAATATTTAGAGTAGCAAAAGAAAAAAAAGCAGTAAATCGCATATTTCAAATGCTTGTTTGGTTCGATGCATTACAACAGGATTCTTATAATTCTAATGCAATGTCCCCTTCTAAGTATTTAGTTGGCATATTTAGGTTGTAAAAGCGATTACTTAATTCATCAAGATTCTACACTACTAAAAATAAAAAATAGAAATTATAATATATGGAAATATGTGAAAAGACCTTATTTGCCCTTGGCTTCCCTGTCATCTCCCTCCACCCTCACCATTCCCAAAGACCTTTCCTCCCCCAATGGGCACCTTTATCATTCCTTCCTCCTCCATTGTTCTTGTTTGTTCTTCATTCTTGTTCCTCATTCCCCTATTTCTTCCTAAATTTCTACCTAAGTTCTTGCTCTTGTTCTTTGTTCCTGTTTGTTCTTCATTCATTCATTCATCTTCCATCATTCGTTCATTTGAGCTTTTAAGGATTCAATGTAATAAGATTCCGTATTTCGAATAAAATGAATTCATGACGTCCTCACATAGGACTCATCTCTTGAATTAGAAATAGTTATCATATTTCAAAAAGTCATTTGATTACAATATCTATATTGAACTCCTTGTCTTGGGTGGGTGATTCCATAAATAAAATGATGTGGAAGTTACTAGATATAAATCTCTAGAACTTTCTTTACTAAAGAAGAAACTTTTTTCCCTGATTTTCAGTGCATTCTAGTTGAAGATGTGGAGAGGAGAAGGGAGGATGAGGAAGGACTAACAGGGGACAACAGTACTAGGAATTTTATTTGTGTGTGAAGACATTTTTATCCATTTGGTTTTATTCGCATCTAATTAAATATAAACAGCAGTAAATTTAATTTTGCCACTTTTAATGTTGTACCAAACAACTTCATTGTAATAGTCATTCCATTACATTACATTTCCTATGATTACATTTCATTACATTCCCACCGATTTTACAAACCAAATGGGCTACAAGTTTTTTTCCCTTGATTCTGCATATGTTTAGAATATCTCAATTTTGAATAAAATTTTTATACATTATTTTGCTTAAATTAAACCCTTATAATTTTATCGGTTATAGGCATCCATCTTTGAGTTAAAAACCTTTAACACTGCTGATTTCAATCTATAGAAGTTTATGGAATTTACGGAATTTTCATCATTTTATTTAAGACCATTTTGAGAAATATATAAAGACATGTGGATTAATTTTTTTGTAATTATTTGGTAAGTGAGGTCTTTGTGTAAATTTTAATTTTAATCAGGCTGGCAAATTTTTTTTTAATTTTAATTAGGTGTTAGTTAAGCCTGGATTTTATGTTTTTCGTTGGAGGCCAGAATTGTTCGACAATCCAGCATGGCCGCTTGCTCTCACAGAACAACTATATACAATTAATTTTTCTTTGATGATTACCATAAGATCAGCCTTAATATCCTAGCAAAAATTTACACCCACAACATGTCACGACTTGTATTCACAAAAAAAAAAGAGACCATGGGATTGTACAAGAATTTTGTTTTTTTGTTTTTTAAAAGGGATGAATCTCAGATCACCTTCACCAGCTTTTCCGATGGCCGTGCCTTCCCGGAGATTTTGCTCTCTGTGTCGGCGATCCCAACTCATTACCCTCCTTCTTCTTCTCATTCATGCCTTTCACATACTCTTTCTTCTTCGCTGACTTTCTCGATTTCGAGCTTTCCTTCAATGCCGGCAGGCTCGGCATAATATACCACACAATACAGGTGCACAGAGTCGCCGCCGATCGCCCAAACACAATCAAGAACACTAAAATCAATATCATCACTATTGGCAGATACTCCGACGGTCGTCTCCACATGTTCCAAGGAACCCTCGTCTTCTCCGCCTTTCTGTGATCAGATTCCGCATTGGAACGCCTTCTAGAATATTCTTCCACACCAGAAGATTCAATGGCGGCCTTGTTATTATCGACTGGCTCCGAAATTACAGGCGCAGCTGGTCTTACTTTCAGCTCTTCGCTCTTGTGCTTCCGTGGGTCCTTGTTCTTCGATTTGACCACCACAGGGACGAAGTCATCTGTTTCGGTGTAGACGAAGCGAACGAAAGAGATATCGTGAGGGTTTGTCTGCGAGTAAATCTTCTGCCTCTTCTCGTCCAGATCAGCTAGGAGTGCAGAAAATTTATCCCGCCCAATCGTCGAGTAAGGATTATTGTTCTTGCCTGACTTGCTATGGCTTTTGCAATTTTTAGATTTTGGCGAGGCGGAAAAATCAGAGCTCTTACGACAAGCTTCATCTTCTTCCTCGTGATGAAAAGCACCACACCTGAATGTTCTGAGCATAAGGGAAATTCTGGGTATTTGATATTTTTGGGAATTTGATAAGTGGTGGATTGAATTGAAACAGAGGATGAAAGCGGAAAGAGTGTATATATATTGAACTATTGAAGAGGTGTGAAGGGGAGACTGAATCAAACCAGAAGAGGGGATGTATGACAATTCAAAAGGCTTAAAATTAAAAAAATGTGGAAGAGGAAGCTTGTGACGTGGTGAAAATGGTTGATCTTTGACTTCTTAGCATGTTTTATTTGTTACTATTTCGAAGAAATTGAGTTGGGGATTACAAAATAAACATGTTGCTGTTGCTTGAGGAGAAAGATGGGCATCGGTGCACATCTTTTTATAATAACACCAAAAGGATTTTTTAAAAAAATTATATTAAACCTATTTTGTATTGTAATTTTACAGTGTAGCGTATGCATTGGATGTAGTGATTTTCACAATGACGCTATAAGAATGAAATAAAAAATAGGAGTAAGGTAGATTCCGTGTTTTAAAATT